GAGCACAAGCAAGGAAGCTCCCTCTCTGTCACATGTGGAGCCCTCTACCTCAGGGACAGGACAGGAGCCCCACGGATTTCTGACCATATCAGAAGGGTGTTATCCCTCTGCAACATGGGCCTGTGGTGATGATCACACACAAGAAGGGTGAATAGAGCTGCCAAAAGCTGGAACCCCTGAGGCAAATGCAGAATCATCTACAAGGTGAGTGTGCACAGAATACTCCCTGTCCTCTACACACACACACACACACAAGCGCGTGCGTGCACATGCACGCACGCAAACACTGCTCACAATCTCAGACAGTTTTGCGGCCCTCTCAAAATGAGAGGTGTGCATCGCCCTTTTATGTCCTGACAAACTCAGGCACATGTGGGGCCCTGAGGCACCATATGAGCAGAGCCTCTGGGTCCTGCTGAACTGAATTATGTGCAGAATCATCTACAACATGGATGTGAGTGGAACACCTTTCTCCTGACCTTCTCAGATGTGCATAGCCCAGGGCCATGCAAATGTGGCCTCGGGCTTCTACCACTTGACAACTGAAGCCACCTGCAGAAACCTCCAAAATGACAGTAGGAGCAGTATCTCCTTGATCACCTCTACAATATGCATGTGAGCAGGACATAAAATGTTCTAATGAACTCACGCAAATCCTGTCCGATGTGCATGTCAGGTGATAGCCTCATATACAGAAACCCTCAGGCATGAGCAGATTCCTGGAAAACATGGACGTGAACACAACTCACCATGTATTTACATTTCATTTTATCACACTCCTTGTACAGTGTGGTTGTCACCTGAGATCCCCATGACTCGATAACTAGCTGTATACCGGGCTCTCTCTAATAGAAAAGTGAGCTGGCTGACTGCATCCCCCTGACCTGTCATCCCTGTCCAAGACATGTGGAGAACCTTGTACAATGTGAACTGGGCCTCAACACCCACCATCTCTACACCTGACCAAACTTGTCTGGTGAGTTTTGCTACATACATATAAATGTAGCCCCCAGCCCCACATTGTGAAGTCTGCAACAAAGTTGTGAGCATAAACATGCCTGTCCTGACCTTCCCAACAGTGTGAACAGTACTGCACAATACACATGTCAGCAGGGGCACTCCACCGTGTCTTGATGACTTAGGCACGGTTGGAGCCTGGCAAAATGTGAAAGCACAGACAGAGCTTCCATTTCTGACCCCCACAGGTCCATGGGCCTTTTATAAACTCAACTAGAACAGAGCTCCTACGGGTTATATGCATCACCATTAAGAAGAGAGGCCATGTAGAGGTACATTATCCCAACAATGAATGTAACTGTACTGTATCCCTAAAATGTACCAATAAACTCAATAAAATTTAAAAAAAATTAAAAAAATAAAAAAAAAGAAGAGAGGCCTAGCTGGGCATGGTGGTACACGCCTGTTATATCAAAACTTGGGAGGTCAAGCCAGGAGGATTGCTGTGAGTTTGAAACCAGCCTGGGCTACAATAGTGAGTTCCAGGTCAGTTTCACCTACAGAGTGAGACCCTGACTCAAAAAAAAGAAAAAAAGAAATGAAAAGAATGGAGACCTATGCTGGGCATTTAGCTCTGTGGTTCTACCACTTACTTAACAAGCATAAGCACCTCAGTACAATTCATGTAACCAAAAAAAAAAAAAAAAAAAAAAAAAAAGGAATCGAGACCTGTGCACCGAGAACACTCATTTCCAGAGCAGTGTAGCCCTGTGGAAAATCTCTACAACACGGCTATGACCAGCGTCCCCCACCACACAGTCTCTGCATCTCCCAAGTGTGGAGCCAGCCTCAATGTGAATGTGAACAGATCACCCCATGTGCTCAGGAGCTCAGTCATGGGTGGAACCCTGTACACCTGGAACGTGAGCAGAGCCTCTCCATGTCCTGTTTGCTACAGGCCTGGGGGAAATGTGGACAACGTGGACGTGAGCAGCCCAGCTACATGTTGACCCACTCAGGGGTTTCGAGCCCTGTGTTCCAAGGAGGAAACGACCTGAGCTTTCTAAGTCTGCACCACCCCAGCTGCTCTCTATATCACTCGACTGGCTGGACCACATGCGTCGGGAATGTGGATTTCTCAGTGGTGTGGATGACAACAGAGCACTCCGCATACCATCCTCACTCCGTATGTGTGCAGCCCCTCATAATGCAGCTGTGAATGAGAGGCCCAAGGTCCTGAGCACATCACTTGTATGTGGGCCTCTAAAAAGAGAACACAGAAGCAAAGCCATTCCCCATGTCCTCATCCTGTCTGGAGGGTGGGGACCCATAAAATGTGTATGTGAACAAGAACCCCACCCATGTCCTCATGTCCTCAGACCTGTGTGGAGCCCTGTAGAGTGTGGATGTAAATAAGCTCCCTGGGTCGTGACCACCAACCCCATCCATGGAGCCCTGTACAACTTGACTGTAAGCAGAACCCCACTCCCATCCATGGAGCCCTGTACAACTTGACTGTTAGCGGAACCCCACCCCCGCCCATGTCCTGAGTACCTCAGGCATCTACAGAGCCCTCCACAATGTGAAGGGGACCCGAGCCCCGCTGTTGTCTTAAGCACCTCAGGTGTGCAAGCAGCCCCTTATAAAGGGGGTGTGAGCAGAGCCTCCCTCTGTCCTGACCAACGCAGGCACATGTGGTGCCCTCTGCACACTGTGATTATGAGCAGAGCCTCTCCATGTCCTGATGACCTCAGGCATTGGTGGTGCCCTGGACAGCATGAATGTGAGCACAGCCCTGCCACACACTGACCATCCCACGTACATGTGGTCCTGCTACAACAAAGGTGTCAGCAGACCCCATATTCCCTTGACATCTGCATCATGCTTGGAGCTTCCGCAAGGTAGAGCTGAAAAGAAGCCACTACTTCCTGACCCTCTCAGGTATGTGTAGACCTTGTGCTATGTGGACAGAAGGGGAGCCATTCTTGGGTTTGCTCATCTCATGCCTGTAGAGCCCTGTTCATCATGGAAAATGAACAGAGCAGGCCATTCCGTCTATGCCACAGGCATGCGTGTATCCCTCTATGAGGAAATGGGCACAGCCCTACAGGCAGAAGTTTCAGCCAGTTCGGGAGCCCTGTTTAATACTGTATGTGGCCTGAACCCTCTCCTGTCTGGACACATTCTGGCCGGGAAGAGCGCAGCCAGGCGGGGATCATTTCTCAAAGTACAGAGCCTAAGACAAGGGGAAAGTGAACACACTTCCTATGCGTAAATATGTAGTGTGATTTTAAGCACTCTCTAAGGACAATGGAAACACAGGCCCCTCATCCTGAAACTTTGATACCCATGGAGACCTCTACAAAGCACTGTGAAAAACATACCACCACATCCTCACAACCTCAGGTGTTGGTGAACCTTCTACAGAGGTCAGAGGGAACGGCCCCTGCCTATGTCCCGACTATATCAGGCCTCTGGGACCATCTTTAACCAGGAGGAGGCCAGAGTATGCCATGTGCGGGCCACATCAGGCTCGTGTGGAAGTATCCACTAGGGGAATGTGGACAGTGGTCCCCACATACATCATGACAACTGAAGAACATGGGGAGCCCTGTACAGTGTATCTGTGAGCTAGGACCATCACCCACATTCCTGACACACATAGGCCTTTCAGAAGACCTGAGACACATGGATGTGAAGAGTGGCCCTCCATGTGCTGCCATCAGGGCATGTGTGGTCCCTCTACACCAGGAGAGCACAAGCAAGGCAGCTCCCTCTCTGTCACATGTGGAGCCCTCTATGTCGGGGACAGGACAGGAGCCCCAACTCCTTCTGACCATCTCGGAAGTGTGGAAAACCTCTGCAACATGGTTGTCACCAGAGACATGCACCTGCGGTGAGGATCACACACATGATCAACACACAACAAAGATGTGATCAGAGCTGAGAAAAGCTGGAACCCCTCAGGCAAACAGAATCATCCACAAGGTGAGTGTGCTCTGAATACCGCCGTTCTCTACACACACACACACACACACACACACACACACACACACACATGCAAACACATGCTCAGAATCTCAGACAGTTGTGTGGCTCTTCAAAATGAGAGGTGTGCATCGCCCTTTTGTGTCCTGACAAACTCAGGCACATGTGCGGCCCTGAGGGATGATGTGAGCAGAGCCTCTGTGTCCTGCTGAACTGAATTATGTGCAGAATCATCTACAATATGAATGTGAGTGGAATACCTTTCTCCTGACCTTCTCAGATGTGTGTAGCCCAGGCCCATGTAAACGTGGCCTCGGGCTTCTACCCCATGACAACTGAAGCCACCTGCAGAAATCTCTGAACAACGACATGAGCAGCAGTGTGTCCCTGATCACGTCTACAATATGCATGTGAGCAGGGCACACCATGCTCCAACGAACTCAGGCAAATGTGGAGCATCACACAACCAAAGTGTGAGCAGAACCCCAGTGTCCTAACTTCCTGGGTGTGCAAAGACACCTAGCAAATGTCAATGTGATCAGAATGTCCTGCATGTTCTGATTGTCCAATGTGGGACGCAGCTTCTATGATGTTCACATGAGGTGGGTCCCCTACGCAAGGATGAACTCAGGCATGTGTGGAACCCTGTACAACCAGGATGTGAGAAGCCCCCTAGCACACCTCATAGAGACAATCTGTGTCCCATAGAACCCAGTATAATGAGGGTGAGAGCAGGATGTCACACTGCCATCATTGTTGCACACATACATAGCAGGTCTCTATAACGTCCTCATGGCCAGATGCCCACCACATTACGAGGCCAGCAGAGCCTTGGAGTGCTAGGCCCCTATGTAACGTGTGGAGCCCTCCACTAGGAGGATGTGAGTGGAGCCCCCCTATCACCACATTCTTGTCCTGTTGGTCACATCCCAGCCATTCAATCCACCCCACATGGAGTTCCCTCCAACTCAAGTAGGAGCAGCTCCCGTCCCCGATGTCTGACCTCGTCAGTTATGTGTGTCACTCATACATCAGCAGGTCTCTATAACGTCCTCATGGCCAGATGCCCACCACATTTCATCCATCTTGGGAGTGTGGAATCCTGCCCATTGTGCAAGGAAGATGATAGCCTCATGTTCAGAAAATCTCACACATGAGCAGAATACCAAAGAATGTACATATGGAGAGAATTCACTGTGTACCTACTTCTAATTTGATTGTGATCCCTGTACAAAGTGGTTGTCACCTGAGATCCCCATGAACTTATTAAGTGGCTGTATCTGGGGCCCTGTCTAATATAAATGTGAGCAGGGCTGCCTGCATCCCCCTGACCTGTCACCCCTGCCTGAGGTGTGTGCAGAGCCTTGAACAATGTGAACTTGATCTGAACACCCACCATGTCCCCACCTGCTCAGAAGTGTCGATGACTTCTGCAATGACGATGAATCCCATCCTCAGGTCCACAACAAAACTGTGAGCATAAACACTCCTGTTCTGACTTCTCAGCAAATCGAGTGGCACTGCACTTTACACATGTGAGCAGGGGCAACCCACCATGTCCTGACGACCTCAGGTACTGGTGGAGCCTTGTAATGTGGAAGTGCAGATTCTCCAGTAGTTGACCAACTCAGATGTGTGGGTTCTTTACTAAGTCAGGTAAAACAGAGCCCAACATGTTACACAAGGAGCCATCACGAATGGTGCCCTATCCCAGGAGGACGCAAGAGACTCACCATTTTCCAACCAATGCAGGCCCATAGAAGCTTCTATAACATGGCTATGACCAGTGCCACCTACCATACCATTATCACACCTCCCAAGTTTAGAGCTCCTACTCAATGGGAATGTGAACAGAGCACCCCACATCCTCAGGAGCTCAGTGGTTTATGAAACTCTATATACTGGGAATGTGAGCAGAGCCTCCTCATGTGCTGACAACCCCAGGCTTGTGTGGATCCCTAACAACACTGGCATTGGCAGCCCAAAATACGCTGACCACTTCAAGGGGTTGGAGTCCGCTGTTATATGGAGGAAGCGATCTCAGCTTTCTTTTCTAAGTCTGTACCATTTCAGCCAGTGTTAGATCCTCTACAACATGGATGTGAGCACTGCAACAGTGGTGTGACCACATTGGGTATGTGAATTCCTCAGTAGTGAGATGACAGAGGAGTACCCCACATCCGATCCATGTTCTACATGTGTGCAACTGTTTGTAATGCAGCTGTGAATCAGAGGCCACAGGTCCTAACCACATCTCCTGGTTGTGGGCCTCTAAAAAGAGAACATGGAGCCATTCCTCATGTCCTCATCCTGTCTGGAGGTTGAGGCCCTATAAAATGTGTATGTGAACCGTAACACAAGTCTATGTGCTGATGTCCTCAGACCTGTGTTTAGCCTTGTAGGATGTGGATGTACCTAGAGCTCCGCAGGTGGTGAACACCAAGACCATGCAAAGAGCCCTGTACCGCGTGACTGTAAGTAGAACCTCCCATACCTCATCCATGTCCTAACTATATCAGGCATATACAGATACCTACATGATGTAAGTGACCAGAACCCTACCCTTGTCTTAAGCATTGTACATGTGCCAACACCTCTTATCATGTCGATGTAACCAGAGCGTCTTGCTGTCTTGACCAGCTCATGCTTATGTGGTACCCTGCACACTGTGATTGTGAGCAGAGCCTCCCAGATGTCGTGACAACCTCAGGCATTGGTGGTGCCCTGACAACATGAATGTGAGCACAGCCCTTCCACACACTGACAGGCACCGATATGTGTGGTCCTGCTACAAGGTCAGCAGACCCCACATGCCCTGGACACCTGCATCATACATGGAGCCCTCTACAGGGTTGGAGTGAGAAGAGGCCCACCATTCCCTGACCCTCTCACATAGCTGTGGATGTGAGCAGAGCCATCCCAGTGTTGTGCTCATCTCATGCATGTGGAGCCCTCTTCACATGGATGATGAACAGAGCAGCCCATTTGCTCAGTGCCTCAGGCATGTGTGGAACCCTCTACAAGGGAATTGTATAGTGCCCCCCACAAAGGCCGAGCAACTGAGGCAGGTGTGGAGCCCTGTACAACCCTCTGGGGGGCAGTGCCTTCTAGTGTGTGGAAAACCTCAGACAGGTGTAGAGTTTCAAAAGGTAGTGCTGCGCATGGTGGCACATGCTTGTAATCCCAGCACACGGAGGATGAGGCAGGAGGATCTCTGTGAATTCGAGACCAGGCGGGGCTACATAGTGAATTCCAGATTGGTCTCAACTACATAGTGAGACTCTGTCTCAAAAAACAAACAAAAAAACCTGGTGATTCTTTTTCAAAGTATAGAGCTTTATACAATAAGGATGTGAATATTCTTGCCAACTTCTGTGATTTTGAAGCTCTCTCCTGGCCAAATAGAAGCAAAAGTAGCAAGTCCTGAAAACTGCAACTCCTGTAGAGCCCTCTGCAATAGGCTGTGAGAAATGTTCCACAACATGCTCTTAATCTCGGGTGTTTGTCCACCCTCAATAATGTTACTTTGGTAACCACCCCTCTCCATGTCCCCACTAGCTCATGCCTATGTGTGGAGCCGTCTTCAACCTGAATACAGCCAAAGCTCCCAACCTGTGGACCATGGCAGGTGTGTGTGGAGGAATCTACTATGTGATTGTGGACAGAAGCCCCCATACACATCTGGACCTGACTACTGAGGGTCATGGGAGGATGCCCAATGTGTAGGTGAGCAGAGCCACTGCCCACATGTCCTGACCCACTCAGGCATTTGTGAAGATCTGAGCAACATGATGTGAAGAGCAGCCCTCCATGTCCTGCCAATCAGAGCATGTGTGGTCCCTATACAAACCATCTGAGGCCCAAGTGGTGCCTGGTACAACGTGGGCGAGGGGGAAGCCCCACCCTCTCCTACAGACCAGGCCTTCACAATGGCCACATGGCCAGATCTCCACCAACTCAGGCGTGTGTGTCCTGCCCATGATAATGGGAGTTGATATCCTCATATGAAGAAATTCTCAGGCACAATTTGAGTCCTCTTCAAAATGGGCATGAACAAGCTCCACATCTACCCACTTCTAACAGCATAGTGACCCCTGTACAATGTCTTGTCACTGAGTTTCCTATTTCCTTTCTAACAGGCTCTGTATGGGCCCTCCATATATAACTGTGAGTGGAGCTAGATTGATTCCCTGACCTCTCATCACAACCAGTCATGTAGGGAATCTTGTACAATGCAAACTTGACCTGAACACTCCCCATGTCTTCATCACATGTGTAGTGACTTGGACAGTGTAATCGATAAACCAACTGTCTGTTCATCTTGTTGGAAACACTAAAATACTGTGAACATACTCCCTGTGTCTGACTACATCACGAAGGAGTGATATAGGCAGGGACACTTGTCCATGTCATGAAGACCTCAGACATTGGTGGAGCCCTATACAACGAGAACGTGACCCAAGCCTCTCCATGTCCCTACTGAGTGGCATGTGTGGAGCCCTCCATGACTTTGATGGGAGCAGAACTAGGTAACAAGACCAACTCGGTTCTCTGCAGTTCTCAGTTCCAAGGAGGAAGTTATCAGAGCTGTCTATTTCCTGACCACCTCAGCAGGTTGTCAGGCCCTCCTGAAACAAGGAACTGAGCATTGCCCCACTGTTTTGACCACTTGGGGCATGTGGAGCCCTCTGTAAGGAGATTGTGAGCAGAGCACATCCAGCAGGTAGAATACAGTGATACATGGATGGAGTAGAGCCCCCAGTATCCTGCCCACTTCAGAAAGGAGCAGAGACCTCCACAGCATGGATATGGGAGATCCCTTAATGTCGTGAACACCATCGTGGGATGGGGGTCCTTATACAACAAGGAGGTGAGGAGAGTCTACCAATGTCCTGACCCTCTCAGGTGGAGAGCTGTACAGTGAGATGTGAGCAGACACCACCGTGCCCCATCCAAGCATCAAAGTGGTCTTAGCCTTCCCCACCCTGCCCAAGGCCCCCACACATGCCGAATATACATGATATGTGGGAGACCTCCCTGACCTGGACATGCACAGCGCCTCCATGTTCAGACCATCTCAGGCTATATGTGGAGCTGTCTACAGTGTAGATGGGGAAGAGCCGCCCCACTCTCTTTCTGAGGTGCATGTGTGCAGCCATCTCCAATGGCGAGGCCAGCAGAGCCTTGGAGTGCTAGGCCCCTATGTAACGTGTGGAGCCCTCCACTAGGAGGATGTGAGTGGAGCCCCCCTATCACCACATTCTTGTCCTGTTGGTCACATCCCAGCCATTCAATCCACCCCACATGGAGTTCCCTCCAACTCAAGTAGGAGCAGCTCCCGTCCCCGATGTCTGACCTCGTCAGTTATGTGTGTCACTCATACATCAGGGATGGGAGCAGAGGCCCCAACCCCCACTATCAGGTGTGTGAGAAGCCCTCTACAGTGACGATGTCTACAGTGGCCAGTCCTGACCATCAGTGTGTGTAGTGCCTGCTAAAATATGGATATAGGCAGAGGGCTCACACCTAGGCTGGCTTAGGTGTGTGGAACCCTCAAGAAAGTAACTATACCCAGAATGCCCCGTCCTCACATTCTGAGCACTTTAAGTGTGTGTGAAAAGCTCTAAAATGTGTATGTGAGCACAGTCATGCTGCCCCACGTCCTGACCATCTCAGGTGTATGTGAGGGACCATGCACATGTTGATGTATGTGGATGTGTTCAGAGCTCCTATATCCGGGCCATCTCAGGGGTGTGTGAGTGGCTCTAAAACATGGTATGACTAGAGCCCCCTACATCCTGACATCACAGGCGTGTGTGGAGTGCTCTACACTGCAGAGAGGAGCACAGACCTCCACTCACTGAGTTTAACCATCCCGTGTGTGGAGACCCATCTGTGATTTCAGTACACTCCACCCTATCGTCAGAGCAGTCGTGTCTGCAGCCTTCTACAACATGGATGTGAGCGGAGGCCCTGACCATCATCACATGGACTGGACTTCTTACAACATGGAAGTGAGCAATGCTCGCCCAGCCCCAGCTACCTAAGGTATGTGGACAGCGCTGTCCAAAATGGGTACGAACCGAGATCTCAGGGCTGAAAGGACAGGAACGTGGGGCCCCTCAGCGAAGTCAGTCTCACTGTGTGGGGAAATCTCACCAAGGTGGATGTTGGCAGAGCCCCTCTTGTCCTTGCCATCAGTGGGGACATGGGAAAGGACAGCATAAACAGGAAATGTTTATGCAGACAGCAAACAACCTCTGTGAACAAAATTTAGCTCATGTCACAGTCTAAATAGTGACTGATATACTGCTGTGTTTAACAAGGCATTTTTGTATTTTTATATCACTAGAGACAAGTAAAGGAAATCCATACTCATATGGGCAAAATCAACTCAGGACCAGAGTGAGACCAGCTTTCCAGTCACTCAGATAACACACAGCAATGCTGAGAAAAGGTCCGAGGTCCTGACTGTGGAGCTTAAATGGAGGAAACTCCCAAGAGACCATTTCAGCCACTCAACCATCTCAGAGCATATCGTTCAAGTCTGAACTAGGCTAATTGTACGGAGTACATTTGGAAGGTTACCTGATAATAGCCCTTTGTTCACTGCCATCCTGCACAGCCTCGCAGGACTGCTGGGCTGTTGCTCAGAACACTGCCAACCCTCTGATGCCAGCAAAGGCCTTTAGGTGACGTCTTGTGAAAGGGCTCCATACTGCAGCCCACATACCCAGAGGGCAAGTAGACTGATTACAGAACCTGAATGGAGAACACAAGCCTGGTTCTGGGGCCAGTGCAGACATGAGCTGGATGTGCCAGCCATAGCTTATCCAGGAAAACAGGAAAGGACTGAGGCAGGGAGTGGCCATGTTTGCTGTAGGGAGCTTTTCCTGAGACTTCAGAATCAAGTGCCTGAAAATGCATTTATCTCTAAAGTTTGAGTAACATTTGGCTCAGGCACCTTCCCTAACACTCACTCCTCACAGAGACTGAAAACTATCTCTGCAGAATGGAAGTCCACACCCTCAAGCTGGTGCCATTCAGCAGAGCACAACCACACTCAGAGGCAGGCGTGCAGTGACACCATGGAACTCAATGTGTGGGTGACCCCTGAGTCACCCGGCACAGCTCTGTGTCACTGGTAAAACAGGCAGACACAACTGGGGCAAAGCTACCTGCTCGAGGTGACTCCCTGTGGGAATAGGCCTGGCTGAATCTAAATCTGGCAACTCCAGATTTGGTGGACTGGCACCACCAAGTGCCACTCAGACATCTGCAGTGAAGCACTGGGGCAACTTCATATGGCAAAGCCTCCCTACCCTGAGCAGGACAGGGTCGAAACTGCTGCTTTTACTGAAAAGTACATTTAAGTCTTGAAGGCTAAACAGGGTTCCTCATACTATTGAAATTAGAAATGCATCCAAATGAGATAAATGACAATGAGAAAAAGGAAGAAAATGGTAGAGGTGTAGGGAAACTGGGAAGGATGGGGAAAAGGGAAAAGAGGAAAGAAAAAATTAGGAGAAAATAAAAAGGAAATAAAGAGTTTGTTAACACGGAGGGGAGGAGGGGAGTGAATGGAGGGCAGGGACAAGGAGAAAAAATGAGAACCAAGTCCTGTCATGTAAAGGTACAGGATCCAATAATGACTGTAACTGTACTGTATACCTACAATGCACCAGTAAACTCATTTAAAAAAAGAAATTTAAAATGCAGTTGGGCTTCCCTTGCCCTTGGGCCTCCTTCCCACTGGGAGCAGTGAAGCCTGCCATGCAGCCGGTTCCCCAGCTCCAATTCTTCCCACTGCGATTGCTAGGAAGGAGGGTCAGGCATGTTTACTAAAGATGCACTAATTCCAATTAAGCTGGTGCCACCTTCTCCTCATAGAAGAAAGAGCAAAGCCAGTGATAGGTGCTCCCAAGGCTGTGGGGCACCGACAGAAGGAGTGTGTACTTGTAGACAGCAGCTTGGCACAATGTGTGACCCAGTCACGTAGAGCAGGAGCAATTGGGAGACCACACAATGTCCACCTCTCAAAAAAAGTGGGACCCATAAGGGTCACAGAGCACAATGTACCAGTTTGTTCACAGACTCCTCAGGCCAGGGGAGCCATCCACAAGGGTCACACGGTAGAGCAGGCAGTGGAGAAGCAGGGTGTGACCCTGACCCCTCAGAGACACATTCTTACAAGTGCTCAGGATTTCTGGGTTCAATAGACAGTAAGACTTTTTTCCCTGGCTGTAAATAATATGCAGACTTCTTTTGTCCCTATGTGAGGCTTTTCTGAACTACCTAAATGTCTTGTGGGAGTGACTAAGGAAATATACCAAGCTATTGGAACTTCTCAGAAAAAAGCTCAAGTAACACTTTAAGAAGTTCCAGTTAAATATGAGGATGGAAAAGTGAACCCAAGACCATGTGTGCAATCTTTAATTTTTACGGAATCATGTGAGAAAGGTTGAGCTGGGTGTCATAATACACATCTCTAATGCCAGTGCTTAAGAGGCTGAGGCAGGAGGATTTTCAGTTTGAGATCAGTTAGCCCTCACAGGGCTTTGGCTGGTGTACCTTACAAATAAACACTGTGTGCATTCCAGGTGTACAGTGTGATGATTTTGTGTTTAGCTACACTGTCAACCGAGTTCCCCATTAGGTGACTTAACACATCTATCATCCCTGATGGCTGCCCTTGGAGAGTGTCCAGGCACTTGAGGGATATGGGCACTTTAAACCATGCGCCTGTAAAGCCCAGCTAGATGCTGATGGCCTCCCGCCTTCTCCATTCAGGCTTCTCACACGCTCCCTAAAGCACCCACAGGTACAGCTACACTGACGTGTCTCTCACACATCACCTCAGACCTCTCTCGGCACAACCACAGCTCCTGGTCATCCTCCACAATTCTCTTGTCCTTTTCTTAGCCCACCCACCCTGGGCTCCTTGTGGGTGGGGCCCCAGCATCTGTTTGCTCCCTGGATGTTGTAGGTCCCAAGGGGTCTCACTCCTTCACCTGCAGCGCCTCCCTACAGTTGGTCCCCGTCTTGGATTTCTCCAAGGCTCTTCTCATGCGCTGTGTGATCCTAACATCTGCCTGTCTGCTCTAGAATGCAGACCAGTAGATCCCAGGTGTATCTCCTAGATTGTTCACTGCTATCAGAACAATGCCCACTCACAACAGGAGCCCAATGTGGGGGGTTCTGAATGAAAGGACGAAAGCCCAAGTGAAAGGACGCGCAGAGCAATCTTACCATAGAAAGCAAGCCCTGAAAATCCTTAGCGGGTAACCCGATCTGCGATGCCAATCCGACCTGCAGAGAAAGACAGAAAGCAGAGCTTGAGGGAGGGCGGTGCCCTTGGCCATATAGAGTCCAGACGTCCTCAGGTCCTCCGCACACACCTGTCATGGAATGCGCTGACTCTCGCGCTCCTTGAGCCACCCGCGCCTTCCCAGCAAGTTCCCCAACGCACCAAAGTGGACAGGTAGGAGTTGCCTGCACTCGCGGCACAGCCCTGTCCTGGTCTCCAGAACGGCCCCGATCCTCCCGGCGCGAGCAGAGGCACCCAGCACCTATCCTTACACACCTGTGTTCAATGCGCGCGCGACAGGGGGCGCTGACTCTGTAGGATTCCCAGGGCGAGATGCACACTGCAAATGCAAGCCGTGCAGCCGGTTTCCTGAGCGCGCCGCCTCCCATTGGCCAAAGCCTTCCGCCTCCTTCCAACTGACCAATGGCAAGCCGAGGCCTGCACCAGGCGGTACCCGTTCGGGGAGCGGGAGGATGGCGTCGTCCTGGTGTCATTGGTTGCTCGGGACGCTTCTGGTTGCCAAGACAATAAGGCCTCAGCCCAACTGTGCGGGTGTGTCTGTTGGCATCAAATGAAAATTTAAAAACCAGGGTGCAGAAAGACAGATGATGAAAAAACAACTAGAGTGTTGTTACTGTAGTGGTCATCACCGTTTAAAAGATCCACGGCGATAAGCGTGCCTTGACACGCACAAAGGCAGAGAAGATCGGTCTCCCAGGGCACCAGCTCAGGTGAGAACAAGCCTTAGCTTCTCTGTTCCAGGTCGGGATGGGCTGTGGGGAGCCACTGAGTGTCACATCAGAGCCCAACAGTGCAGACCAACCTTGTGTTATGTCCTTCAACTTTCACAAACAATATCGTCACCGGTTCCGGTGTCACGGGACTGTAACCACATCTACTCTGGAGGCTGACCTAGTAGGAGGGCAAGTTCATGCCACCTTGGCCAAATTACTAAAAGCCTGTGTCAAAATAATAATACAACTAAGGGGCCGGGGATTTAGCACAGCGGTTCAGTGGCCTGCCTTGCAAGCACAAGGACCCGAGTTCAATCCCTGCCTCCCCCCAAACAAAACAAGTAAATATATAGTAAGGTGCGAGTAGTGTTACGGAAGGAATCAGTGAGTGACACACAGAGAGGAAGCAGAGTGGAAGAAAAATAACAAATTTCCTCAGTGACAACGGTCTTTCCTGACACAGCTAATGTGGGATCGAACCTTATTGATGAGGACATTTATTATTTTACTTCCATTCCCCTGCCTCTCTGTGTGTCACTCACTGATTCCTTCCTTAACAGTACTAGGGCTGTAGCTAGCTCATCCTGGCATGTGTGAGGCCCTCAGTTCCGTGCTCAGTATTGGAAAAGGAAATAATTCTGGGCTCATTCCTCCTGTGGGAAAGAAAGAAAGAAAAGAAAGACAAACGAGATCTGGTGTAAGGAGTAAGAGTGATGCTTTAGATGTAAAATATCACAATGCCATATCTACAAGGAAAAGAAGACCAGGAATGTTAGCCTGACACGCAGGGTCATTTTTCACTCCAGGATCAGTGGGTTCTGGAAGTGCCAGCTGAGAAGCTGAAGTCCAGGACAGGGATTCTAGATGGTTTGGGGTCAGTGGGCTGCAGAATGGGCCTTGCACTTGGCTTTGGACTGATGAAGGTAGACAAGTATGGGTCAATTTAAACTGAAGTAGACTTGGCCCTGTGGATCTTCATGAAATTCATTTCAGACTCAGAAATTACATTTGTATGAGTCACAATGCATTAGTGGCATCAGTAGCCAGCTGGGAGAAGAAAGGCAAGTTCTAGAAGGTGATATCCCAGGCCCCCAATTGTAAGTGCTTATGGATTATATTCAGCAGTCCACAGAAATTAGCTGCGTACCTAAGAAGACAACACTATTTTTGAGACAAAAGTCTCACTGTGGAGTCCATGTTGGGTGTGAACTCATTATGTAGCCTAGACTGGTTTCAAACTTAAGATCCTCCTGCCTCAGCCTCTCAAGGGCAAAAAATTTGGTTAGGGACCATGGCACGTGCTGAAGACAAGACCGTCAAAAGTCAATAAAAATAATTCAGGTTTTCATTGCACAGTGGTTGCTAACACACACTGAAACACTGTTAAATCATGGATGATGAGGGGCAGCTCCAGTCACCTGTCAATAGGAGGTCCAATGGTCAGGGTCTCAGTTTATGCAAGGCCAGTGCCACACCGCTGTCCTTGCAAGTGGGGTGATCCTGCACAGCAGAAGACCTGGACTCACTCCAGAGCCTGGGGTCTCTCGGTTTTTGCTGTGTACCTCTCTCGCAACTTGGGGCTTCCAAGGTCAGAACAGCCTGCATTTCAGATAAAACATACTGCAGTGCTTTCTCTATGTGTCTGCCTCAGAACTCAAAATCACCTAGATGTGGTGGTGCATAACTGTCCACGCAAGCTGAGGCAGGAAGATGGCAAATTCAAGGCTAGGGCAGAAAACGCAGCAAGAACTCTTATCTGGAGAGGTGCAATCCATCGCCCTCTGGGGTCAATCTCCAGTACTGCTATTACACTACCAAGTAGATTTCCAAGATACCCAACCAATTGGTAGTCATATAGAAGATGGCATAGGTGACTCCAAATCCATAAGCATCAACCAAGGGAGGCAAACAAATGTCCTAAGTGGTAGAAGACTTTACTTGTGTTCCACTTCTGCATGGCAAAGGAAACCACGCTTTAACCATCCAGGAGTTTATTATCACTCACTCTTGGGTCAGGACTGTGGTGAAGGCTGAGCTCTATGCCTCTATCTCTCCACCTGTCACATGCCCCACCACCGCCAGAATGTTACCACAGCCATGGTGACATCTGAAGGCTTTTCAGGGGTGAGCACTCCCAAGCTCACTCACTCGGGTACTGGGAGGACTCATTCCTCAAGGGCACTGGAGTGAGGGCTCCGGTCCCTACTGCCAGGTTAGCAAGGGGCTCTCCACAGGGGAGCTTAGGACATGGCAGGTGGAATCCTTGTGAGTGAGCACAAGGGGTACACAGAACACACGAGTACAGCCTCTTTTCTACTGCCTCTTACAAGTGACTTCCCATCCTTTCTGCTGTGTCCTGTTGACAAAGTCAGCCCACACTGGGTGAGGGGTCACCAGGAAGAGGTCATCCACAGGGGCCACATGACAGGCTGCCTCGCTCCATGGCGG